CCCCCCCCCTGCCGATGGAGGGGACACGGGTTCGTGACCCGGTCCGGGAAGATCCCACATGCCGTGGAGCGGCTGAGCCCGTGGGCGATGGCCGCTGAGCCTGTGCGTCCGGAGCCTGTGCTCCGCAACGGGAGAGGCCACAACAGTGAGAGGCCCGCGTAACGAAAAAAAAAAAAATTATTTGCAGCCTTCCACTCTCCCGGTTCCACGAGGGTCAGACCAGCCGAGGCCCGCCCCTAACGTCTTGCCGCCCGGGGCCCCTCCCCCACCTCCATCGCCGCCCGACCCACGCGGTTCCGGGAAGCGGCCGCTCGTGGGCCCCCCGGAACCTCGAGAACACTTGTGAAGCATGCTGGCTCGTCAAGGCCTCGGGGAAAAAAACTGCCGCGAAGGGCGTCCCGCGGGACGCGCGGGGCTCGCCGGTGGCCGGGGAAGGGGTCGGGGGTCTCGCCTGGGCCTGGGGTTGTCTGGCGGGAACCTGTGGGGGTCCTCCGAGAGACCCTTTAAGGTACAGATTAACGGGGAGGGGCTGCAACCCCCAAGCGATTCCGTAAAAGACCAGGGCCCAGGGCCGGTCGGGTCCCCGAGACTCGCGCAGCCTCCCCTAGGCCGCCCGGCACCGCCTTCCGTGAGCCACGCGGGAACAGGGCAGCGGAGGCGCTAGCGCCAGCTGCGTCCAGAAGTTTCTTGGGCGCAGTCAAGAATCAGCAAAAGTACGTTCAAAGATAAAAGCAGCACAGGACACGGAAAAAGAAACGGCCGAATTAAGTTCGCTTAGCAGAAGTGTGGTCATCAGGCAAAGACAACGAGAACCAAAGAGTTTCAGCCAAAATACAGACACGATACCTCTGAGAGCAGGAGACAAATGCAGACAAGGGCTCAGGGCACACACGCCGCACGGAGAGAAAGAAAAGGCCGCAAAGCTCCAAAGTGGAGGCTCGGCGAGCGGGAACGTGGGAGGGGGGAGGAGTCAGGTACCCAACCAGTCTTGTGCAACTCGCGGACGCGTTCAGCCACGTGCAAGTACCGCTTTCATTTTAAAATGAACCCCCTCGCCTGGTTTTCTCACCCTACTCCTGGCAGGGGCGCTCGGCTCTGCTCCCTCAGGAGTCCGCACGAGGCTCTTCTTTCCTTCGTCGCTTCGGACTCTGCCTCCCCGACCCCAAATCTCAGGCCCGCGGTCCAGTCCCCGAACGTAAGGCCCCTGACCTCAGACCCACCTCCCCTAAGCCCAAAGCTTAGCCCCGCGGTCCCCACCCTCAGTGGGCCGGGTCCCCGCGTTCAGTACTCAGTCGGTCCCCGGGTGTATGGCCCCTGACCTCAGGTCCCACCTCCTCCGACCCCAAATCTCAGCCCCGCAGTCCCCAACCCCCAGTAGGCCCAGTCCCTAATCGGTCCCGGGTGTGTGGGCCTTCACCTCCGATCCCGCCTCCCCTGACCCCCAAATCTCAACCCCTCGATCCTCCATGCTAGGGGCCCCATTCCCCGGCCGCTCCCCGGTATGCGGGCCTCGGACACGCCGCCCGTCCCACCCCTCACCTCGGGCTCCAAGTGTCCACGCCCCCGCTTTTCTTCACATCCGGCACCTCGGACGTCCCTCTGAGCACCTAGAGGAGGGTGGAACGCGGGGGACTTGGCAGTTGTAGCTAAGGCAGTTGAGGCTTGTTTACCATCACTATGGAAACCCCTGGCAGCGCGCCCCGGGAGAGGGCCCCCCGGAGAGGCTGGGTCAGGCGCGCGGCGGGCCCGAGGCCACAACTCCCGTCCGTCGTGCGCACGCGGCGCTTCCGGAAGACCTTCGGCTCTCGGAGTGCCCTACCCTCCCTCGGCCCTGCCCTAAGCACCCGGGAATAGCAGCCCCAGGAACCCGCGCCCCCGGCCCGTTCCCGGCTGCCAGCGTAACCGCGGGCCGGTTTCCCTGCAGAACCCTACCTTTTTCTACAGGAAGACGCGGCGTAGTCCCACTTCGAAGACGGAGCCGGAAAGACGCAAAGACCACGGCGGGGCGGGGGCTCTGAGGCGGTCGTCTGTGGGCGGGGCCGAGAGGGCGCATTGTGACGCTCCCGGCGCGGAGCCAGGGATTGGCCGGCCAGGAGTAGGGCGGGGCCAGGGCCTGAGGACCGGAAGCGCTGCGGGAAAGGGAGGGGTGGGACGTGGGCGAGCCCTGGTCGGGGGAGGGGAGGAATTGTGGGTCACGGCTGAACCTCTAAGGATACTGACTGGGTATCCTGTTTGAGTCCCCCAAACAGTGAGCCCAAAGGACGCCCGGATTGAAGACCAGGGTGACAGAAGAAAATGAGAGTCATTTCCGGACAAGAGTGAAGAAAGAGGGAACCGAGAACATCGGAGACCGATAAAGGCGGCTGCGAGGGCAGGGTTTAGGGAGGGATTAGCAGGTTGACTGAGGTTGCTTACGTGACTATCACTTGGGCTGAGAAGCCCCAAGGTTTCTGAAGGTGACCCTCAAGACGCCGAGGCAATGCACAGTGTTCGGTCAGAGCCCCTGAGCTGACTGGCTGGATGGTAGCTGAAATGGCTACCCTGCCTGAGGCAGTGGAACAGATTCTTTGTGTTCTGGGATTAATAATTCTTACCATTTTATTTTTGGAGTCTCCATAAAGAGGAAGATACAAATGCACTCATTACTGGTGAAGCAGAAGATTATTTTTAAAATCACCAGTTAAATTCAGGGGATGCTTGGAATAGGGCCAGATTATGAATGGGCGACTATAGTAAAGGAAGGAGCAGTTTGTCAAAAGAAGCTGATTCCAGGAAAAAAAAAAATGGGAAGAGTAAAAGGAGGAGGTGAAAATGTACTAGAAAACTGATGAGGCATAATTTCAGAGAACAGGTCCTACAAAAATCAAATAGGTATTCATAAGAAACCCAATGACTCCATCACAACTTAGGCTGTAGAAAAGTCTGTTTCTGGAGAGAAAATGCAAGTAACTAATCTGAGGCAAATATTCAAATTATACCCCTCCCCCCCCAAAAAAAGACTTCAGAATTTAGGGACTGAAACCAGGTCCAAGAAGACATGTTCATGCAATCCACTAAGAGCCTCTGAGCCATGGGGGCTTTTTTTTTTTTCTCAGTACGCGGGCCTCTCATTGTTGTGGCATGGGGGCTTTTTGATGCCCTCAGCAAGTCTGACAGTTCTCCAGCATTCATAAATGATGCAATAATCTTTGAGGCCTTCTTTAATGAAAGAATAGGGCTTTGGCCTGATGATGAGCCTTCCCTTGCTCCTAGGGAGTCCACTACAGTATCTTTTGCAGGTGAGCACCAGCACAGTCACATGTTGGCCCTCGTCCACAGTAAGGGTTGGGGTAGCTCAGACTGGTGTCACAGATCCCAGACCTTTTCCACAGATAGCCATCTCACCTCACCAACTGGAGGATGCTTACGCACACCTGGTCCACTTGGACTACCTCCTCAGCCGTGGGGCTTTAGAGGCCTCCACCTTTTCTTTTCACCTCTGTGTCCGCAAAAGTGTCTCATCTAAGCTCTGAAATCGAAAAAGACACATTTGTTCGATTCTTAAGAGTACCTGCACCGAGGTGCACCTCTACCGTCTGGTTTAAAAACAGTTGAGGGACTTCCCTGGTGGTCCAATGGCTAAGACTCTGCCCTCCCAATGCAGGAGGCCCGGGTTCAATTCCTGGTCAGGGAACTAGATCCCACATGCTGCAACTGAAAAAAAACAAAACAAAAAAACCCTAAGGGGGCTTCCCTGGTAGCGCAGTGGTTGAGAGTCTGCCTGCCGATGCAGGGGACACGGGTTGGTGCCCCGGTCCGGGAAGATCCCACATGCTGCGTAGCGGCTGGGCCCGTGAGCCATGGCCGCTGAGCCTGCACATCCGGAGCCTGTGCTCCGCAACGGGAGAGGCCACAACAGTGGGAGGCCCGCGTACCGCAAAAAAAAAATCCTGTATGCAGGAACGAAGATCCCGCGTGCCTCAACTAAGACCTGACACAACCAAATAAATAAATAAATATTTTAAAAATAAAGTGAAGTAAAAACAATTGAATTCAGCACAAATGAAAATCATCCCAAGATGTATCCTCTTACAGATTGACCTGCCTGCTTATTTCCTGTTGTTAATATAAATAATTATCACAGATTTAATACCTTTTAATAAGTATTTTAAGTTTTAAAAAATAAGCTCGTCTCTGGAAACCATTCATCCACAGCAAATGGTACAGAGGTTTGTATTGTCTAGAATTTTACAACTGGTATCCCTTGAAAGAACAATTTTCCCTTTAAGCTTTGATACCCCGCTCCCCTTCTTTCCCAGGAGTGCGCCTGGATAGACAGTATCACCAAGGCTCAGAGGAGGCTCTTACTCAAAATCACATTATCTGTCAAATAGCAGTGGCAGTAACAATAGTGAATATGTATTGCACCTTCACTGTGCTTTGCACTATTAGGAGTACTTAATCTCATTTAAGTATCATAGCAACCCACCAGTAGATGTTACTATTATCATCACCACTTAGTAGAAGGATACAGAGGTATAGAGTTGTTAAGGTAACTTTCCTAAGGTCAC